ACAGTTGGTAAGGCATTTGTCTTGCACGCGACTAACTCAGGTTTGATTCCAGCACCCCGTGTGTTCCCCTGAGCCCCATCAAGAGTGGTTCCCAAGGAACCCCTAAGCATTGTCAGATGTGGTCCCCAAACAAAAGAACCTAAAGTATAAAAAATATATGGAGAATAAGCCACAGGATACTGGATAATTATTGGGTCAGTGAGATAATCAAAAGAATGTAAAAAAAATGATTCCGGAAACAAGTAAAACAGAAGATAAACCTCTAAGAATATATGTGACATAGAAAGAGTATCGATAGGGGAAGATTCATACAATCTAAAAATTCTTTGGGAAATAAGTGTACTATAAATAAGTAATTTAACTTCATACCTCAAGGAAAAGGAAAAGGCCAAGTAAAACCATAGGTCAGTTGAGGAGGGCAAATTAAAGGATAAATATAAATTTATACATTTGAAAATACGTAATAGTATATATTATATTATCACTTAAGCAACTGGAGCTCTAGTACAAGGGCCAGGCACTTGCTTTGCATGCAGGTGACCTGGCTTCATTCTGGAACACTAGATATATAGTCGCCTGAGCAACCCCTATAAATCCTGACCACAGTGGGGCAGGAGAGCTAGTACGTTGAGGAGAGGCTTGCCTTGCCTAAGGCTGACCCTGGTTCAATCCCTGGTTTCCCCTATTGTTCCCCAAATACCTCCAGGAGTGATTACTGAGTGAATAGTCGGGAGTAACCCCAGAGTACCATCAGGTGTGACCCTGAAGCCCCAAATACATAAAACTCAAAGGAATGCTACAAAACATTATCAAAAGAAAAGAAGACAATGATCGAAAAATTCTTAACTCAATTCATTAAAGGAGAAAAAGTCCCAAAGATATCAAAAATGGGAAAAGAAAGTTCCAAGAGATACCACAGAAACATAGATTATTACACACACTTTCATACCACAATAAGTTGAAGAATCTAAAAGAAACAGACACATTCTTAAAATCTCACAATTTCCCAGGAATGAATCATGAAGGAACAGAAAACAGACCACTTATGAGCAAGGAGACTGAAACCCTAATCTTAGCAGCTTCCCCCAAACAAAAGCCCAGTGTAAGATGACACTGGTTTGTCCGTTCTGCCTTGCCAAAGGGAGCTTAGGTTTACTGGGTTACTCCACCACAGTGCTCCTAATCCTCTGTTCTCTTGACCTAAGCCTCAGTTGCCGTTACTTCCTAGCACCCCCGAAGCAGGGTCCCAACGAGGGACTGGATGGATGCAGGCAAGCTGTGAGCTACCTTGGCATCAGACTGGGCCAGGTGAAAGCGCCGTAATACTTAACTGTAAGTTAAGAAAGAGCATGGTCATGGACAAAATCTGTCATGTTCAAAAAGGAACAACTAGATTAGGACGCTGCTAGGTTAGGAAAGATTAATCTGGCCTGAGCACTATAGTCTGAGATCTATAGCAAGATGCCCCCAAGACAGCCATACTACAAGTTTAATGCGTCTCTTACTGTGTCCATATAGGGTAAAATTCCAAATAACAATGGTGGGTCTGGTGTCAAAATATTGAATGTGATCAAAGTATAGAGAGAGTGATTTGGAAATCATCTGCCTCACAAGTAGGGGGAGGGTGTGGGATGGGGGTATACTGGGGTTTTTGGTGGTTGAGAATGGGCACTGGTGAAGGTACGGGTGTTTCATTGTAGGACCGAGACTTAAACCCAAAAGCTTTGTAACTGCTCTCATGGTGATTCAATTAATAACATCATAAAAAAAAAGTAAGGTGGAGTTCATGCCCAATTCAATCAGCTAATCAGTGGCTGAATAAACAGCAGTGTTCCTACATTAAAAAAAAAAAAACTGTGTTCATATAAAATAACTAATATTAAGAAGTAGAATTAAGATGTTAATTAAGAAGTGAAGTTTTATCGGACAAAGGAAAGGAGAAAATCCCCTAGGTGGTATTTTGCCCTTGAGTCTGAGTGGTGACCAGGAAGGGCTTTGAAATGTTCATTGTGCTACCTGAGCTGGAGTATGTGGTTACTGCCCCCGATGCTGGGGAGTTGGCGAGAGACTAGAGAGAGACCAAGGCAGGAGGCGAGTGAGAGACGAGGGAGGGGGACAGGAGGAGATGGGAACAAGGGGCTTAGTGAGAATGGAACAGGCTCATGGGGAGAACGAAATAAAGGGCAACTGATTACCAACCAGCCTGGCCTTCATTTCCTCCTTTGTCCGCCCCTGGCATTAGCCATCCCTGGAGGGGAAGTGGCCCGAGACCACCACACACAGGCTATGAGAGAGAGCTGCGGGACTTCCTAATTCCATGGTGATTACACAGCCCAGGACCAGATTTTACTGGTGAGTTTTCTCAGACTTTCACAGATGCCCTATTACCTGTGCCCTCAAGCTCTTCTAAACAACTGAACAGAAATGCTACCAAACATATTTTATGAGACCAGCATTACCCTGATACCAAAGGCAGACAAGGACATCACAAAAAGACAACTATAAAGCAATATCCCTGGTAAATGAACATAGATGCAGACATCCTCAAAACAAAATCTTAGTGCTAACAATATATTCAAAGGCTCATAAATCACGACCAAGTGGGATTTATTCCAGGGATACAAACATGTAAACCAATTATTGTAATTAACCACATTAACAAAGTAAAGATAAAATCATAGGTCATTAAATAGAGAAAGACTGACAAGATTAAACATCTGTTTATGATTAAAATAGCCAGCAAAATAGAAACAGAAGGAATATATCTCAACGTAGAAAAACTTACCACTGATATTAGAGTGAAAGTGAAACATAAAACCCTTACCTCTAATATCAAGTATATGACAAAGATTTCTACGTTCACCACTATCATTCAATAGGGAAGTAGATATTCTAGCTCCAAAGAAATAAGAAAAAAAAAAAGAAAGAAAGGAATTCAAATTGGAAGAGAAGTACAATTATAACCATCTGAAGATGACAGTTTAATATTAAGGCAAAAAACCCTAAATATTTCACAAAAAAACTTTTCGAAGGTTAAAAAGAATCAATAAAGCATTAGACTACAAAAATCAATATGCAAATATGACGCACTTATATGTTAAATGCAAGTAAAAGTAGAAGCAACATGGAAGCTAAGGTGATTCAGAAACATTTCCATTTACTTCAAAATGAAGTAAATACATAGGAAGAAACCTAATAAAGGATGTTAACTTTTATCTTAAAAACAATGTCACTATTCAAAGAAATATAAAGATGAACCAGAGGAATATTGTTAACATAATTGTCAGACCCAAAGCATTATACAGATTCAACGTTATTTCTAAGATTTACAACATCACTCTTCAATTACCAGAATGTGACTGAAATACATATGAAGTCATAAAATATCCCCAATAACCAAAGGAATCCTGAGAACAAGCAAACAAACAAAAGGGGAGATCAAATTCTCCAACTTTAAACTGAAAACAAAGAGATAGTCATGAGACCTGTGTTAAGTACATATAAATATTCCTGATTTCTTAGTTTTTTTCCATTGTATGTAATACAAATTCCATTATACATATTTTAGCCATTATATTCTATCTATTCTATTTACAATGAAGGGAAACTAAGAGTTCAAGAATGAATGTTCGTAAATGTGGTCTCTTTATAATAAAGGAATAAAATGTGTGAAATAAATTCAGAGGAAGTTTCCCCTAAGTGGTGCTGGAAAACCTGGATATCCACATACAAAATAATGGAAACGGAACTACTATTCCATACTACATTCAACAGTAAACTCCTATTAGGGCTGGAAAGGTGAAACACACTGAAAAACTTAGGCAAAATTTTCCATGACGCCTATTTCTGCAATGCCTTTAGGGATCTGACTTAAGGGCAAAAAAAGAGAAACAAATAGATCAAACTTTAAAGTTACTTCAGAGCCAGCGTGCACTGCAGCGAAAGGAGTGCAAAACCCGGCAAGCCTTGGATCTGGGGGGTGGGGGGGGGGGAGGCACTGCTGCCTGATGTGCAAGCCCACAGAGCACCAACACTGAAGCGAAAAATGAAGGGCAGGAGCCACAGCCAGGTGTATGGAATGGCTTGGTCATCAGAAAAATTGGGGGGTGGGGGGGAAGGGGGGAAGGCTAGCAAGAACGAAAAAGAACACCAGGGACAGATGAATTGCCAGCAACTAAGGTCTCACATATATTCATTTGCTGTGTTCTTGCATTTGTACCTGAGTCTGGACTCGTTCTGTTCTTCCATCTAAGTAACTTGCCTTCTATTCCATAACGTCTGTTCTATGGAGTGTAATCTTTTATTGCCTCCTTTCCTCATCTAATTGGCATTGAAAACAAGTCTTTATCTGCGTAATTTCCCTTATCCAAATCTCCTGGGAAAGTCTGAACACTCATGAGAAAGATCTGTGAATAGACATTATGACACCATCAGACCACAGACCATTAGTCCAACTATAGTTCAACAATTTCTGCAAGGAAGCATTTCAGATTGCATAAGCCAAACTAAAATGAAAATATACTCAGAATGCAAAAGAGAAAATCAAGTTTGTTATTCTTTTATACACATGCTACAGCACGAGAGCACTGCCCTCCCGTTGTTCACTGATTTCCTCGAGCAGGCACCAGTAATGTCTCCATTGTGAGACTTGTTGTTACTATTTTTGGCATACTGAATACGCCAGAGGGAGCTTGCCAAGGGCAGGATACACCTTGGATTAATACATATCACCAGTAACTGGCAGTTCCAACAACAGACCTTGCGATAAGCTATACAGTAAAGACTCCCTCCTGGGAAAAAAGTTGCTTTTGCTATACTGATAAAGCAAAAGGAATGAGCCCATTTTGGGGGAAGGCACCAAACACGGCCTTAAACAGAACTGAAGCAAGTCTAGAGGACAGAAACACCATCTTTTTGAGGATTACACTTAATTTTAACTTTTCAATTTACTTGCCAGGCACCTGCCTCCTGATTCACGCAGCTCAACCTTCAACACTTACCTTCGAGGATGATTGGCATCAAACAGAGTGTTATCTTCCTCCTCATCATCTTGTTCTAAAGGCGTCAGTTCCATGTTTTCTATGTTAGTATCCAAAACTCCGTATCTCCTAGTCTTCCGGTTTCTTCTCCTCATCCTGTCAAAAATAACATTAATAAGATTTTAATAAAAATTATCTACTTTGTCATGTCATGTACATTATATATGCATATTATATATACAGATATAGAATTATATATACACATATAACATGTATGTGTATATATACACACATATAATACATATGCATGATATATACATATATATTTGTGTGTGTATATATATGAAGAGAGAGAAAATTAAAAGCCATCCCTGTTTCTGAATTCTGAATCAGGATACTGAGAATGGGTGCATTACAGAAAGAAGCCACCTAGACTGTTGGTGAGCTAAAACTATTCCTGCATATTTGTATGCTATTACCATTTCTTCGGGACTGGAGCGACAGCACAGTGGGTAGGGCGTTTGCCTTGCAAACGGCCAACATGGCTGATACGAGTTTGATTCCTTTGCCCCTCTTGGAGAGCCCGGCAAGCTACCGAGAGTATCTCGCCCGCATGGCAAAGCCTCGCAAGCTACCCGTGGAGTATTCAATATGCCAGACACAGTAACAAGTCTCACAATGGAGACATTACTGGGCCCACTCGAGCAAACTGATTAACAACGGGAGGACTATGACCGTGACCGTGACCATTTCTTCTGTCTGAGATTCTCTTCTGAAAACTTAGAGTGGTGACAGGTACTCCTTTAAGCCACATCTCCAATATCACACATTGATCAGCCCCTTCTGTTCCAGCCCTTGTTCACCTTCTCAGACCTTCCTATCACCATGCAAGGATGCTTAGGAACTCTCCTCCAGTCAGCAGCTGTGTATCACATTCCCAAATTCTATACATGGCAAAGCATCTCAGGGCATTTCCAAAGTTCCACACCCAAAGCACAAATCCACACAATTAAACTGAAACCTCCAAAGAAAGCACCAGTGCTTTGTCAAGATTCTCTAGGAGACTCCAGTATAATATGCCCTGGTCCTAAATCACGGATTCCTAAGTGATTCTCTCTTCATCTGCAGACTCACACCCATCCCCAAATTTGTTTGCAATCCAAATCTCCATGAACATTCACCCCTTGTCAATGAGAACAGTTGAGGTTACAGCCCAGAAACCCAAGTCCTTGAGTTTATACAATCTAAATCTTTTAACTATGGTCTTCGAGGAATCAAAATGTTTGTGTGCTGATTATTCATTATATACATGCAAGAGTTTCATGACTTGGAATCCTATTTAAAAAAATATTGTCATTTAAAAATTTTAAAGAACCACGATTTAAACTATTGTTTCAATACCAATCCCATCATCAGTGTCAACTTCCCTCCATCAGTATTCCTATACCCCACACCCATCCTTTTCAGCTTCGGTGGTTACAGCTTAGACACTGTTTTCAACGTTGCTGGATCTGTGGTTTGACTATGTAACTCCCCCACTCCCCCATATCCTCAGGATAACCAAAGCCCCAACCCTGCTCTCCAGTACTTCCCTTTCTCATCTTCCTTATCACCTTGATTCCCTTCCTTCTCTGTCTTCCTGCTTCCTAAACTCTAAGGCCAAGGGAGATCTATGTATCCTGTCTACTACATTATATTTCTTCATCCAGTTATTCTATATACCACAGAGAAGTGAGATTATCCCATGTATGGCTTTCTTCCTCTAGCTTACTTCCCTCATCTTCCAATTCTATCCCAGCTGGAGCAAATTGCAGGACTTCACCATTCCCTGCAGTTGCATACTATTTCATTGTGTATGTCTTCATAATCCATTCCTCTGTAGTCAGGCACCTAGGCTGGTTCCATATCATAGCTACTGTACGAAGTGCAGCAGTGAATAATGGTGTGCTTACATCCTTTTAAGAGAATGTTTTCAAGTTCTGGGGGTAGATGCCCAAAAGTGGAATTGCTGCATCATATGGCAGCTCAATACTAGGTTTATTAAGGACTCTCTACACTGTTTTCATAGGTAACCCTACTGTTCTACACCTTTTCCTCCAAATTGTTTATCTCAGTTTTCACTTCTATGTGCTCATGTCAACACGAGCTCTTATTTTCCTAACTTATTCAGTATTGTATTAATACAGTATATATTATACAGTGTATACTATAATCTCTATTTCTCAAAATGTGAAGCTCAGTCACCTGGACTGAAATCACACTAGGGTTTTCTTAAAAATGAAAGTATTCCCCATCTCCCTTTACTTCTGGAAGTCACAGTAGCCAACCCACATCCCACTTCTGCCACCATGTAGCTCATCTACGGGCCCTGCTCCGGAGACTCATAAATAAATCGTGATAGCGATCTACTTGCCACAAAAGTCTATCAGATACCTGCTCCCGGCTGAGACCTGCAGGTGATCTTGGAACAGGGACAGGCCAGCCCCCACCTGACCAAAGCCCCAGCAGCTGCTCACACAGCCCAAAGCTACCACCATGCTTCCAGCTCTCCAACCCCTCAGGACTGATTTCCAGAGAACCAAATCTGCTGAAAAATCAGGTACATTGGAGGGGGGGTGGGGACCCCAAAACGTCAGACCTTCTCCGAGTCGAGACCTACTCCCACATCCCTGTACTTCCAGAGGACCCAGCAGCCATGCCCACGTTCCATTGCTGCCTCCTGGTCAGACTGCCCAGTTAAATATTTTTAATTTTCTGAAGTGCACGATGCTTTTGCGGCCTTGCCATATCTCCAAACTACTGACATCCCAGCACACCATAACTGGATGGAACACAGAAGTCAACCAATCTAGATTCACAAAAAGATGAACACAGAAGGCTTAATTTCCAACAAGAGCCCAGTAAACATTAGACAAGGACGTAATGTCCACATGGTGAGATACAACAATATGCACAAGTTTTCTTCTATAGAGATATTTCTTAATCATTCTGTTAGCCATTTAGTGGCAACAATGTAAAATAAAGAGTCAGGCTTGAAGGATGTTTGGGAAAATGGAGAGGATGATGGAGGGAAGTTAACAGTGGCGGTGGAATTGGAGTCGGAATATTGAGTGTCTGTAACAAATCATCATGGACAGCTTTGCAAACCATGGAGTTTATATAAAGTCTGTGTGTGGAGAGGGGAGGAAATCAAAGTACTACATTACTATTGCAAAATTTCTGACTCAAGTTATTTGGTGGTTGATCATAGAGGATACTGTACACTGTAAAATACTTAATCTGGGATAAAATCAAAGATAATTTCCATTAAATACTACCTGCTGATCTATTCATATGCTCACCCAAAAGAGCAATAGAAAAAAAATTTAACTGTACTATTTAAAAAGCTAAAGTAGAATGAAGGAATCAAAAACTAAGAGTAGAGTCAAAAGTATCATTAGAATCTTGAAACTGCGGTTACCGTGCCAGTGTAAATTAGTTCTTGCTTCTACATACAGCATAAAGACCACAGATCTAATATTTTTCTGTAAAGTTCAGATGCCAAATATTTATACACCATAAATATTTGATCTGTTTAACATATTCAACTTGTTTTATTTTCATTTTCAACAACTATAGGATAACATTGGTTTGTCCTTTATGCCTTGTCACAGGGAGGTTAGGTTTACTCGACTGCGCCCATTCCTCCGTATTTCTCTTTCCTTGTGCTCTGCTTCCCCAACCAGTCAATCACCTGTATCTCCTAATCAGATTCTGTTAACTTGTGAATATTACTTTTCCCTTCTCCTTATGTCCTTTGCATAGTCAATTCAGAACAATGTCCTTTTTCTATAGATACAGGAAGACAGTTAACACGATGCTTTTGTAACTTGGGAGTTAATTGACTCAGAATAATATTCACTCCTAGGCATCTATTTTCTCAACGTAAGCCTCAGTTGCCCTTACTTCCTAGCACCCCAAAAGGAGGGTCCCGAGGAGGAACTAGGTGGGCAAGCTGTGAGCTACCCTGGCAATGAAATGGGCAAGGCCACGCGCCATAATACTTAACTACAAGAGCACAGTCATGGACAAATTCTGTCATGATCCAAAAAGTAACAACTAGCTTAGGACCCTGCTAGGGTTCGGAAAGATTAATCTGGCCCAAGCACTGTAGTCTGGGATCTACAGTGAGATGTTCCCAGAAGAGCCACCCTACAAGCTTCATATCTCTCTTACTGTTTCCATACAAAATAACTAATATAAAGAAGTAGAATTAAGATGAATGTTTAAATGGTTACTGGCCTAGGGAAAGGAGAAAACCCCCTGGGTGGTATTTCACCCTGTTTCCTGGCTGCAGGTGATCAGAAAGGGCTTTGGTATGATTATGCTACCTGACTTACGTATGGTTGCTACCCCCAATGCTGGGAGGTTGGAAGAGACTAGAGACCAAAGTGGTAAGTCAGAGTGAGGGAGACAGGAGGAGAGGGGGGTGAGGGGCTTAATGAGATTGGAACAGGCCCGTGGAGAGAATGGAATAAACAGCCACTGATCACCAATCAGCCTGGCCCTCGTTTCCTCCTTTGTCTCCCATGGTATTGGCAGGTGGCAAGAGAGAGCTGAGGGATTCCTAGTCATTTGGTGATTACACAAACAACCGCTTAAAATGTAAAAATAAATTACATGCTCACTGGCCTCGAAGAACAGGTAGGTTTTCCGAACGTTGTATGACTGAAACCCAATCATGAACAACTAAATAAATTAATAAAAAAAATCTGCTGATCTCTGCCATAAATCTATGGAATACAAAGAAAAGAGTAACTTTACACATCAATACCATAAGCAATAACACTTTCATAATTACGTTAAACCAAAAATTACATATATATAAATAAAACAGATGCTGTATGTATTTGAAGAAATGGTGATAGTATTAATTTTGGTAAAAGGACAAATACTTCCTTGATGGTCCTTATGAATTATATGATTTCTAAACAGTAAACACAAGAGCCAGAGCAATGGACCAGCAGGCCGGGCACTTGACTTGCAAGCAGCCAAACCAGCTTCAATCCCCAGCAGCCTATACGGTCCCATGATCTGCCAGGAGTGATCCTTGAGCATTGAGCCAGGAGTAACCTGAGCACAGCTGAGTCTGGGCCCAAAACAAAAATATAAAAGTG